TTCGGAGACTAGGAACTCTCTTCCATTCATCGTGATGTAACAGATTGACGGCTGGGGTACCCTCACGGGCCCTGCTGTCGTGTAGATAGTTCGTCTCAGAGCTATTCTTCCGATAAGCTCGAGAACTTGACCATCGGGTCCGTCGGCCTTGTCACGGCCTGTAATTCGACAATACGCGCAAAACCTTACCAATCTTGGAAGAGGCTGGACATGCATGCCTGGCTGGAGCTGTGTCAGCTCCATAACCATCGGTTGAGGGATAATGTTCAACGTAGCGCCTGTATCCGCACAATACGGAACGTCAAGAACCCTTAATAAATTCAACCGTTTTTCGCCGGTTGGATTAGAGAGGATCTGGTTGACCTTTGCTCTCTGGAGTACTCGTGGCTTTGCAGCGGCCTCTTTCGCTGGGCTCAACGCGTTTTCCAACGTCGTGTCGTAGCCATCATCCTCAGAGACAAATCCAAGCTCATACTCTGCCTCTATCTCGACGACTACTGGAGGCTTTACACCACGTCTTTTCGAGGGAGGATTATAGTCCATCGGGTCGAATTGAATCCCGTGGATGGGGCTTTCACCTTCTGCTTTCACAGTGTCTCATCTGCATCTTTCCGGCCTAAAGCCGCTGAAGAGAGTGTGGAAGACATATGAGTATAGGGTTTTAAATGAGGTATATTCAATGAATCCTCACTACCCCTCATCAATCCCAGCACTTTGGCCCTGCCTCTGCGCCCTTGCCGCGTGCCCTTCTTGCATGTTTTCCATGCATGGCCGCTTTCTTGGCATAGTTCGCACTTCGGGGTTGACTTGGTCGCTTCGACCTTACGAACAGGACTGAGCCTAGCTCATCTGAGCTATAGTCGTAGTCAACGGTTCCGACGGGACGTCATTGATATTAGCCGGTCTCTTTGTTTCTTCATCGGACGCCGGGAGTTCTTGCTCCGGCTGTTTGTCCGACTCGGACCGTACCAGTCTAGTCATCTCTGACTGACACTGCACCCGTTCTGCACGTGCTTTGTCCCTCAATGCTTCAGAGGAGCCAAAGCCGTAGCCTGCGTCGCGGTCGATGGGCTCTGGGTTTTGACTGCTGTGGTTGCGGTGTCGGCCCTGTTTTTGGCCTCTTCCACCATTGCCACTGCGTCCATAACCTCGGCCACCGCCTTGTTCGCGGCTATCCGATCTGAAGTTACCTTTCCAGGCCTTCTTGTCAGACGACGGTGGCTTCCTTTCGTTGTCAGGCGGGGGATTGCCTCCCCCTGCTCCGCCATCATTGTTGCCACCGCCTTTGCCACCACCATATTCCAGGCGATTTTGGCGTCTGCGCTTGCGGTTGTTAGGACCTTTCGGCCCTTCATCCTGCCGTGCGCGCTTGGGTTCTCTTCCCAAAGCTGCATCAGATTCAGATCTCCGTTTTTCAGGAGCTGATTTCTTAGCAGGGTAGTCAATGGTTAAACGGAAATGTTGGAGAATTTCATCCTCCGTCCACTCCCGGACTTTCGTCTCTTTCATCCTCTTGCCTTCCGGCTTGAGGACGGGATTTACTGGACTGCAATACTTGGACTGGTCATTTTGCCAGATCACTCTCGCATTTACAAGTGTATTGCAAAAGTCGTCCATGAATCTCTTTTCCAGAGGATTCACCTTTCTAGACGCGCACCGGTAGGGGCGTGAATCGCTTTTCAGCGTAATGGACATCGGAGGGACATTCGCTGGTGGGTCACTGGCTCGAAACTTTGTTCGCCAGATATCCGCCTTGCGCACAATGGCGCCAAGCGCATCAGCACGGTCCTCTGGGAATCCGGCTTCGTACGCTTTGCTCAGCATATCTTTAACTCCATCGTAATCCGTTGTGTTTACAATGGATCTAACCTTTTCAGGCTCTCCGTCCTCTACCCAAGATCTTTCGACCTGATTGATGTCATTGTAGGAGTCTACGACGTCGTCCAACATGATGTCGAGGTCGAACTCGGGGGCATCTTTGCCCTCCAAGTCATCTCCTTCATCGAGTCGTTGCCTTTCGGCTACTTGCTCGAGTAGTCGTTCGACGTCAATCCCAATACTTTTCAGGGAGTCGTCGGAGACTAGGAACTCTGTTCCATTCATCGTGATGTAACAGATTGACGGCTGGGGTACCCTCACGGGCCCTGCTG